AAGTAAAAATAGCATAGCTTCCATTTTTCAGATAAATTCTAACATATAACTGCATTGTTAGTATATGATCACTTGCATGCATTTCTCTCTCCTCTAAGATAGAAACAAAACTAGAAGTTTTCTCCAAGTTTCTGCGATGGCCAGTGTAGGAATATAAAAACAAAAATGTCATTTGAAAACCAATGTGTTACTGCCTGCTTAGAGATCAAGGGAGAGTTTATGTTTTCAAGACTTAAGTTTTACAATACAGGTTATCACTATTGTTCTTGGTTACCCACCAGAACTTGATGGTAAGACCCTATTGCTGAAGACACCTCATACTGGAGTCACAAGAAATGGAGAAATCAAGTTGGTACTCATATGGAATCTTCATCTCTGTTGGCTAGCTTTCACAGCGCCAAAGGTGATGTGTAGGTTGCTGGGGAAAAAAAATCTTACCAGCCATGAACTCTCCAAGCTATAATATAATGACTTGCCTGGCAAGACATGCCCACTGATGCAAGGGTGGCATCAATGTAATGGGTAACAACCAACTGCTTTCTGATTGAATTCACAGCCTGCTCCACAAGATAGAACCCCACAGCTGTCTAGGTCACAGGCCTTAGGGGAGAACATATGCTATTATTCTGCTAAATAGACACAGTATCAAACTGCCTTCCAAATACTTACGGTTATAGCAATAGATTAGTTAGTGTAGCTTTCAATGCTCATCAAAGAAGCTTGCTTCTTCTTGAAGTTAATACAGAGACCCACAATTAATCAAAATGCAGGGATACGTGACTGTGGAAAGCTTAGCTCTAAATGTATCCTGTTCCCCATGAGGCTCAAGAATCTTTATGGAAGAGGGGGAAAGAAACACTGTAGGAGTCAGAAGTCAGGGAGGACTATTGGGAATCATGCTTTCGAGACATAACAGGGCTGTTGCATGTATGAACTCAGAGCAGCTGTGGTTGCCTGAATAAGAACAACACAAGATCAAACTAGTCAAACTTTCAGAATAAATGGGGAGGGGCCAACAGAGGAGCTATTGACGGTTAACTGCTGTTGGAGGAGAAAGAATTTGTTTTCTTAAGAGATGTTGTTCCTGCTAGGATGACCCCACTCCCACAAACATACTGGAAACACTAATTAAATTCAGTGGATTGAAGAGGGCATAAAGTTGGTAGGCAAGTATAGTGCAGTAGGTCTGCGAAGAGACTGTAAAGGGGAATCATGGGATGGACATAATCCATACACTGAACACATGTGAGGCATTTTCAAAGAATAAACAAATACACATTTTAAAAGTACTTAAATTTTCTATGTTGCTTACATTTAAAGATGTATCTATAAAAGTACAGATTTTGGAAGCACCATTTAATAATGATAGAAAAGAATATGCAGAGGCTTAAGAATTGGCTATGCCATTAAGAGTCAGTCCCTCATGTTCTTCCAGAAGACTCTAGTCTGGTTCCCACTCACAACCACCTGTAACTTCAGCTCCAGAGAATCTGACACCCTCTTCTAGCCATCTTGAGCATCTAGTCATGCTTAGTAGACATTCACACACACACACACACACACACACACACACACACACACACACACACACGGGAATTTGACATCCTCTTCTAGCCATCTTAAGCATCTAATCATGCTTAGTAGACATTCACACACACACACACACACACACACACACACACACACACACACACACGCACATACACACACCAAAAAAAAAGAAAAAAATTAAATGAACAATTTAGCTTATGACTGACAAATGTTAAATCTAAATAAATACTGTAACATTTTATATTTTATATTTAAACCTGTGTATGGCTATATAAGTATAAATCCTGTCTACTCGTACTTACATTTTTATATTGTATGTATGACAACAAATTGGCTCATCAGAAATAAGTGCTCACGGGGCTGGAGAGATGGCTCAGAGGTTAAGAGCACTGACTGCTCTTCCAGAGGTCCTGAGTTTAATTCCCAGCAACCACATGGTGGTTCACAACCATCTGTAATGAGATCTGGCACCCTTTTCTGTATGCATAATAAATAAGTAAATCTAAAAAAATGTTGAAAGTACTATAAAAAAAAAAAGAAATAAGTGCTCACATAAATTAAGACAGAGGCTGGAGAGATGGTTCAGTGGTTAGGAGCACTGGCTGCTCTTCTCAAGGACCCAGGTTCAATTCCCAGCCCCCACATGGCAGCTCAGAACTGTCTGTAACTCCTGTTCCAGGGCATCTGACAACCTCACAGACATACAGGCTGGCAAAACACCAATGCACATAAACTATAAATAAATAAATCATAACAAAAGAAATTAGGACCATTAGTCCAAATATTTCCTAGTTCATAATGTAACTAAAAAATTTAAAACGCAGCATCCTGCTCTTGTAATCATGACAGATTAAGTTTGGCCAGCAGTCCCAATACGCCAATTAGAGACAGAGGACGGAGAGTGAAAGAACAGCTCTCTAAGTCAGTCTGGCTCTTTCTGGGAGAACAAATCAAAGGGTTTGGTAATTCCAGATCTGGCTTTGGGCATCTGGCACATACTTCTATTTTTAAAAATTGTAATAATTTAAAAAAGAGAAAGGATTAAGCACAAGTTGTACACAGAAACAGTCCTGGCCAGGGCGATTACCTGTCTGGTCTGTCTTCTAGCTGATCATTTTCTTAGTTCTTGCTGGGAATGTTCCCATGAAGTTCTCTGGAGCACACAGAAGGGCAACAGCACGGCCTGAGCTCTAGAGAGAGGAATGTGGACCTGCCTGGAAGAGGTGATCTTACAGCTTTCTGGGGATGGAATTGGTTTCAAAGCAGGATCCAGGCTGCAGACTCTCAGATTACCAGGCCAGAGAGGCAGAGAAGCCTGTGGGCCAGTGAAGGGGGATGGGGAGCAGGAAGTGTGGCCACTAGTACCCATTTTGATATATGCTCATTTCTCCAGGTGAGAAATCCCAGCAAGTTTGTTAGCTAGCGATTCAGACAATGTCTAAGTAAGGTGGCTGTCAGTATCTGTAAAAGGGGAAGGCTGCTGGAGATGTTATTTCCTAAGCAATAGCTGGATCCTAACATTACATTCCTTTTGCAGCCACTCAAACTGGCAAGATGAGTGGGTGGGCAGGCCTGGGTCCAGGCCCATTGGCATTCATCGGCAGCAGTCTTCCCCTCTGGCCCAAGTGACTAATGAATGTATAGTCTAGGTGGGTGCCAGAAGCTGAGAGTCTAGACAAAGCAGCCGGCATGTATAAGTAAAGAATTGAGGGCTCTAATAAGAACCGACTGTGCCACCTTATATCACCACACCAAACTCTAGAGCCTTCTGTTAACTTCTGTATAAACTTGCTTTCTCCCGTCCTCCCTAAGAGTTAGAAAAGCCCTGTTCAGGGTAACCATAGAGAACTTCGTAGACCTAACACTTAGGGTTTTCTCCTAATGCAAAACTCTGTTCACATACAGTAAGGCCTACCTCTAGCAGGACTCTGCCTTTTAAAATAATGTGTAGATACTGGAAAAGTGGCTCAGCAGGTAAAGGTACTTGCTGCATGAGCCTGGTGACATGAACTCAATCCTGGGAACCCACGTAAAAGAGAGAATGCATTTCATGAAGTTGTTCTCTGACCTCCAAAATGCAAGTTGTAGCATGCAGGATATCACAGACACACAGACACACACAGACACACAGACACACACACACACACAGACACACACACACACACACACACACACACACCACCATGTATTATTACTGTGTATACAACAATAATTCATAAATAAAATTTTAAAACAAAAAGCAATGTCTAGAAACATCTGAGGATCTGAGGACACTAGCAATTACGACAGAGCCCAACTCCAGTCTTCCATGGATGTGGATCCCCCTTTCCAACAAGTTTGGGAATATCAGAAGAAGGTAGAAATTCAGGGCCTACTGCTAGTGCTAAGATTCACTGACTTATGGACACAGGTCATGGAATTTAGAGGAAGCTTTCCTGGAATCTGTGAGACTCATAGGAAAAGCAGGTGCCACTGAGAAGGAGAGACAGTGAGGAAGCCAGGGCAGACTGCTCAGTGATACTCTATACCATAGGGAATATCTGCTTTCCAACAGTGTCAAGCCTAGAAGGACTCCATTTTATTAAGCAACAACCTTGACCAGAGTTACTCCAAGTTGAAGTATAAGAGCCCCCACCACCACCAAAAAAAGAAAGGCAATATGGCTTGTTTACTCAAGTAAACAGCCAGTATCTGCCAGAACACCAGGAGAGACAAATTGACATCAACGATGACACCTGAAATTATACCAAATCTTATTAGACACACCACACAAATCAGCTTGTCAGCCATACCGCATGTAACCCCCTCACCTGGGACCATAGACTAGAAGGACCACCCCAAGACAAAGGATGACAGGCAACTGTCAGGAGCCTTACCCACAGGGAAGAACTCCTGAGTCAGTCCTTGGACTCCAGCTCCAGTGCGGTTTCTTCTGCCCAGGACACGCAGCCAACTTAAATTGACTTACTCATGCACACTGCATATACATTTGACATCTGTGCCTGCACTGCTAGGACATCATTTTTGGTTCCCTACAGATTGTCCTTTGCATCTGTCTCAGCTCTATGCCTCCTACTTCAGAACGGACTCCAAACTCAACCACTTGAGCTCTTACCCACTCTGTGACCTGCACATTTGTATATCTTTGTGTGAAATGTTCGTGTTATCCGCCAGTTAATGTTAGGACTTAGATTGTTATATAAGAACCTGGGATTGCCAGTGGCTGGCTAGCAAGCAAAACCGGGCATACTTAGCTAATTGTTAACAACGCAACAGACATAATTTGGGGAATTGTTTATTATCCGAAAAATTCTGGCACCGGAAACACGCCAGCTTGTCCCTCTGTTTCTGACAACACGCTCAGGACCCAAGGTCACCACACCCTGCACCCCCTCCCCCCCAAACACACACAGACTCACACACACGAACCCCGGAGTCCCGAGTCTCACCACGACACTGCCGCCACCGCCCAGGCTGCCGAGTCGCGAGGCTGCGGGTGCCCGGATGCCGACGGAGGCCATGGCCGCAGCACGGGGCGCTCAGCAGGGGACAGGACCGCGGCGGCGGCGCCTGCTGACCCAGCTCCACCCAGCGGGACCCGGGCAGCGCGGCCCAGCGGAGCCCGGTGAGTCACAGACGCCCGGGGACTCGGCTGCCCGGGGAGGCCGCGTCCCCACTGTCGCCTCCGCTGGCAGCCGCCTGCTCCCAACACCCGGGACGCCCGGCCGTACGCACCATGTCCAGTCGCCGGGTGCCCTGGTGCTCGCCAGCGGCTCCTGTGATCAGCGGATGAGACACAAACACTGGGGACAACCTGCGGGGCTCTCTCCGGAGAAGACACAAACGCCTAAGATGGCTGGACGGGAAGTGGCATCCCCGCTGCTGGACCCGCCCTCTCCCAACATGTGGAAGCCTCATTGGACGGCCTAGGCAGCCAAGCAACTTTTCTTATTGGCTAGCGAGTCACATGCCCGCCTCCTAATGCTTAAATGACAGAAAAAATATCCTCTAGCGTGGACTGTGGCGCCAAATCTCAAATCGGAGCACAAGCTTTCCTGGAGTCTAATCTGACCGTGAGATCCCTAAACTCTACTTCTAGCTTTACATATGAAAGGAGTGAAACTATATTTTACATGGAATTAAAAATAAGTAGGAGCCCATTCTTTAACAAGGCAAAGATGTCAGCTAAATTCTATGTGTATGCGTGAGAAATGGCATAGAAAAGAGTAAGTCTGATGTGAGTTATGCCTGTTTGGCTCAGCTTCTTATGTTCCCTCTCCTTTTGCCGTGGATGGTTGTCACCAAGGTCTCTCTGTGCCTGGCAATTTACACATTCTGTTCACCCTTTTGAAAGTTTCTCTTGAACCCACTCCACCACTATTGACCTCACACAGTCATTTCTATAGCAAAACATTTTGGGAATGAAGGGACACTTTGACATGTTCAAAACATGTCAAAGATGCTTCAGGAATTGCAAGGGTTGGGCGGGTCTCAACGGAGCTCCATGACACTAAACATAAACCTGGAAAACTCCACAGTGACTTCAAGGGCAATCATTCCTGCTCTCAGGGCCACCAGCCTGACTGGGGAGGTAGAACTAAGTTCGCAAAGAAAGGGTAGACGATAGAAAGGAAGCCTTGAAGAGGGGAGAAGGTTGGATTTGAAAGGCTGCTCTGGGTGGTGAAGGCATTGTAGGAGGCCAGGGAAGAAGCAATGAGCAGACAAGAGATTCTTGCAGTGAGTCAATGTGCAGACTTGGAGCAAGGTCTGGAGAGCTGGCAGATAGAGGTATTTAAAGCCATCTTTTAGAAAGACAGGAGCAGAGAAAGGAAAGCTGAGGCTGCAATCAGCAAGCTGACTAGATGGCATCCACAGTCTTTAAGAATTTAATTTAAAAAAAAAAAAAATACGTTTGTCTGTGTGCCTGCCACATGCGTGCAGGTGCCCATAGAGGCCAGAAGGGGGCACTGGATCCCTGGAGATGGAGTTACAAGCTGCTGACCATGGATGCTCTTACAGAATTTGGGTATATTATTATTATTAGAGTATAGTCCTGCACTCTAAACCACCACAAACAGAGACAGTTCTCCAGCTCCCTACATTTATACTTCAGACCCCACCCCACCCCCCACATCCAGCTCTCTCTCCTTCGCATTTATAAAAGTGTTACTTAATATCTACTGCCAAATTAGCAGGCCAGCTGTGTCCTGTTTGTCTGCTCTTTTCCCTTCTTTTTTTTTTTTCCGTATTATTTTCCTTTTCAGAGACTTGCCCCAAGAACACAGGCTGGACTGGTTTTTAAAGTTTCTGGTCTTAGTCTCCTAATGGCTGGGACTGCTTCAGGTTATCTGATTATATTTCTTTACTTATCTCTCTACTTCTAAACAAAATTAGCTCCTCTCCCCTCTCATGTCCCTACTGCCCCCTTGTTATTACCTTTTCCCTGTCTACTGTTTGTCATCAGCAAAGAATAATCATCACCTTTATTTTTCTTTTCCTTTCTATTCATACCTAATGTAACTGATACACATGCAAAAAGAAGTCGTAATATTCTTCCATTTTCTAAAATGACTGGTATTTGAGGGACGACAAATTTGTGGGTTTTTTTTTTTTTACTAGATAGTCATTTATTTTAATGTATTTTCATAGTGGGCCTACCCATGGATAGGAGTATTTTTACAGACACTATTTCCCATTTAGTCTGGTAGCCCAAACATTATAGAGCAGAGTTAAACAAAACTTTAATCCTGCTACAACCTGAAAATTGCAAACAGTTTCATTTGAAAAAAAGCAATGTGATTAAACACAGACAGACAGACAAACAGACAGACACAGACAGACAGACAGACAAACAGACAGACAGACACACACACACACACACACACACACACACACACACACACAGAGCAAACCAATGATTTAACCCAAAATAAAAGAAGCTTTAATGCAAAACTATAGTAGACATGAAAAACTAAGGCAACATAATTCCACCAGAAGATACATAGTAATGGCCTCCAAATCAAGTGAATTAGATGAAATTTTAGACAAATAAAAATAATGATTTTAGACACACACACACACACACACACACACACACACACACACACACACACACACAAAGAGTCTGCAAATGCCTTACAAATTCCAACAGAGCATAAACACAAGAACAGACAAAGGAGAAATCCTGTGGCCTTTGGCTTCACTCACTGACAACTTCTAAAGACGTCTCTCCTCATTGGCACTGTGATTTCATTTAACAGTTTTATAGCTTTTGGCCCGAATACCCCTTCCCCACTGAACCCCTAGAATCTCACTGAGGTAGAAGGCCCTTGAATATTGGTTGGATTTATTTCTCATCCTCTGATGTATGTGTGTTACTAGTGCGTCCAAAGTGGTTGCTACCTCCTATTCACTTGGTCCAATAACATAATGCCACCAATGTGATATTTTGTGGAAGAGACAGACGATCAAGAACCTTTCTGTCTTAGTTATGACACAGGCCTGGAGAGTTAATATATCCTAAGGTAAAGCTGTAAAGGTATACTGCTGGCCTTGCCAACTGAAAGCAAATTGCTTCTGGCAGACCTTTTGGACAGGTATGGGCGGTGAGGGGGGGGGGGCGCGACGACGATGACGATGACGACGACAACGACAACGACGAAAGAGCTAGATCAATAGTTCCGTACCATGTGCCAGGAGATGGGTTAATTTGCTCAAGTGAGAACCCCATATCTGGTATGGCAGCTGCAATCAGAATCACTACTTGACTGAGTTGTCATTCTCCACAATCTACCTTCTTCTGCACTGGCAGATAGGAGAGCTAAAGGGAGATGTGATAGGAACCACCTCTGCATCGTTCAAGTCCTTGACGGTGGCACTAATTTCTGCAGTTCCTCCAGGCATGCAATACTGCTTTTGATTCCACATTTTCCTTGGTGGAGGAAACTCTAAAGGCTTCCATTTAGCCTTTTCAAATATAATAGCCCTCACTTCACAGATCAGGGAACCAATGTGAGAATTCTGCCAACTCTCAGCATATCTATCCCAATTATACATTCTGGGTCTGGGGAAATAACCACAGGATGAGTTTGGGGACTCAATGACTGGACCTACTGTGAGTTGGACTTCAGCCAAAACTTCATTAAAAACCTGGCCTACATATGCCCCCCTTTAACTGGAGGACCACAATGTTTTATGTGATCTCTTGGAATTAGCATTACTTCTAGACTGGTATCCAATAGACCCCTGAAAGTCTGATGGTTTCCTTTCCCCAATGTACAGTTACACTTGTAAAAGGTCCTCTGGGGAAGGACTGAAGAAAGGCTAACAGCAAAATTTTTAGGTATTTATCAAGGTCCTTCCTCTGGGGAACCTCACCATCCCTTCATTAAAGTGGTTTTAGGTCTGTAAACTGGCTCAAGTCTGGAAAGTGATTCATGGACTGAGATTCCCTTTTGCCACAATGCAATGTAACCTTTCGTTTGTTTGAGGGTTTTTTTTTCCCTTATACAGATCAAACAAAAACTCTGTAGGCTTCTTATCTAGTTCTTTCCTGAAAACACTATGATTGGTTAGCTAGTACCAAAGGTCCATATGAGTAATGCCACCATAAAATTCACTTGTGCTGACCGTTACAGGGTAGGGCACAGTGGTTCTCAGCCACTGTGGTTATGGCACCTTTGGGGGTCGAATGACCCTTTCACAGGGATCGCATATCAGATATTCTGCATATCAGATATTGACATTATGATTCATAAAAGTAGCAAAATTACAGTTTTGAAGTAGCATTGAAAATTATGTTTGGGAGTCTCCACAACATGAGGACCTGTATTAAGGGGTCAGAACATTAGGAAGGTGGAGAACCACCGGGCTAGGCCTTTATGGACATTGTTTTGTCCAAACTGCCCATCACGATAACTATGATCACCTTGCCTTTGGTGATTCACTGCTGCCACTTGGCCCCTGCTACCTCGGGGCCCTGTTAAACTCACTGCATTTAATTCATCTAATGGAACAGCAGCATCTAAACCTCTAAAGTCTGGCACAAGGAAAAGGGTGACAACAAAGCTCTTCAAGTGTGCTGTTGCCCCTCTCACCATTGCGTGTGTGTGTGTGTGTGTGTGTGTGTGTGTGTGTGTGTGTGTGTGTAAGATTAGTGAAGGGCATGTCTTCTGGACCTTCCCATTGTGGAAGATTAGGTTTTACACAGTGTAGCCACTCTAGCATTTCAATTTCCCTGAGCCTTAAAGTCCCTTCATCAATACTAAGCCAATGGGTATCAGGCATCTCCAACTTCTTTCCAGTAGGCCGTATTTTGACAAATGGTTCAGCCAACCATTCAAACATACTTTTTGAACTAAGTAAGCTTTTATATTAAATTTAGAATTTCCACTCTGTGGGCCCATATCAATAAAAGTCTGATTCAGTTTTAGGTTACTTCCACCATTATCCCACAACCTAAAAATCCATTCCTGCACATATTCCCAGACTTCTGCTTAAATGAATCACCAAACTCATTAAGTGCTTTAGTAGTACAGGACACCTCCTCAGGGACTACACTTTCTACTTTCGTGTAGGAGCATGCTTTGCCTTGAGTCTGATTATAGATTGGCCCTGAGGGACATCAGTATTGTCTTGCCTGTCATTTCCTCAGGCAAAGGCGAAAAGGGCACTATTTTAAGGGGTGGAG